TGAGGATGAGGTGCAAGGCTTCCTAAAGTTCGCATGCAAATGCCCCAGGCCTTGTTTGCAGAGGAGACATCAAGTTCACATTGGAGCAACTTGGTGCATTTGCTTCAACCATTTTCTAGCAGCAAGGATGAGGCAACATAAAAAGTTACATTTTTACAAGACGATTTATTAACCCCATTGTATAATCTTAAATGTTGGAAGACTGTTCGGGGAAAGTGTAGTCTTTCAGAAAGTTTCAGATTATAGAACTCCTGACCCTGAGTGCCCAATGCCAAGGCTGGCTCCTGAATCAGCTCCCCTGCAGGCAGAGGTCCCAGGAGCAGTCCAAGGTCGCGTGGCTAAGAGCGGGAAGGACTCCATGGGGCGGGCATGTTTACGAGTAAGTGGTGGGATTCTTTCTGCTAGTAGAGAAAATGTTCTTGGCTAAATTCTCATAATCTTTAAACCCCGATGAGTATCCTCCTGGCTTCATCTTTAAACTCTGCTTAAAGAAATTGTGTTTACTTGGCTCTTTCTGCTTGCCATCAGGTGAGCAGGCAAATGATAAATACTTAAGACCAGAAAGTTAAAGTTGAATTGTATCCCAAGACCCTCTTTAACTAAAATTATACTAATATACTAACTAAAGACATACCTTTGGGAGTAAATGAAATAAATGTTTCGTGGAATAAAGACCCGTTGCTTTGTTGAACGTGTGCGTCCACAGCCTTGTTAATGAGAGGGACACAGAAAGGCCCGAAAACGCGCCAAGCCCTCTGCACACCAGACTCCTGCAGATACCGTGCTGTCTGCGTGCACAGCGCCGTGCATGTTGTAGACAGGATTTTTGTTCAATATCCGTTTCCTGTGAAATTGTATGAGATGTTTGCTGTGTGAAAAATAAATCTCTTGTGCTAATACGTCCATCAACTCATCTAGCGACTGAGCTTGCTGATTCGTTCTCTGTGAAACTGGTCTGAATATGAGTCCGTATCTTCCTTACGCAGGTTTGACTTTGCCATCAACCTTACTCTAACCAAGAGCTATTTCCTAACACCAAAGGAACCCTGAAAAAGCAACGCCATCACACACTTATTCGGCAAGTGGGATTGGGCACCTGATCTGCGGTGGGGTGGGGGTGAGGGGTGCCACATTGGGGCCAGGGCAGGGAAGGGAGCTGAGAGCCGGCTGCACACACGTCATTCCACTCTAAGGCCTCTGCCACCTTGAGCAAACTCTGCACCCTTGTTCCTTCTGGTGGGGACTGTCCTCAGAGGCCCAGTTCTGGGAGAGACAAAAGGAAAGTTATTTATTGACCTGAGAATCTCACATATTAACAAGACATTTACTTTTCTTTCTTTTACTAATTTTTATGGGAGTTTAGTTGCTTTACAACGTTGCATTAGTTTCTGTCTTACAGCAGTGAATCCGTTATACATGTATGTATAGCCTCTGCTTTAGATTCTTTTCCCACGTAGGTCATTGCAGAGCATTGCGCAGAGTTCCCTGCGCGTGTTCTCACTAGTCATCTCTTTTGCGTATATCAACAATGTTTGTACGTCAGTCGCAGATTCCCATCCGCCCCACCTCCTCCTCGACATCCGAGTCTCTATTTCTGTTTTGCAAATAAGATCATCTATACCATGTTTCTAGATTCCATACACGAGTTAACACACGATACTTGTATTTCTCAGTCTGACTTTCTTCACTCTGTATGACAGTCTCTAGATGAATCCACATCTCTGCAAATGACTCAGTCACATTTCTGGTTATGGCTGAGTAATAACAAGAGTTTCTTAAAATCTTCAAAATAATATACAATGAGGTGCTTCTCCCACAAGGACACCAAGCCTGATGGAATAGAAGCTGACAGAAGCCTGTTCCTGCATCCATCCCCCCTCTAGCCCCTCAACCATCATCACAAAATTGGGAGCCCCCCACCCAGGAAAGTGGAAAGTGACTAGGAAATAAAAGCAGGCATTGATTTGAAACATCAACTTCCAAATGCTTACTTGGTAATTGTACACATTCAGATAATGTCCTTGTTGACACGCCATTTCAGTCGTGTCTGACTCTTTGCAACCCCACGGACTGTAGCCCACCAGGCTCCTCTGTCCATGGGATTCTCCAGGCAAGAATACTAGAATGGATTACTATTTCATTCTCCAGAGGATCTTCCCAACCCAGGGATTGAACCCCGGTGTCCCGCACTGCATGCAGATTCTTTACCAGCTGAGCCACAAGGCAGCCCTCCTTGTTGACATCTGTGTTATTAAATAGTTAGAATTCTTGCTCAGAATGATATTTATAGAACATAGTAAATGCTAAGTTATCAAAAACAAGTCAAACATTTTAACATACAGAATGGCCAAGATGCGTGAATATATTAGTATATATTAAGAAAATAACATTTACCTGATTAACCTTGCATTAACTAGAGGCCAAGCCTCAAAACACCTGTTTCCTAAGTCTTCCTGGTAACTGAATTTTGTGTGTATGACACCATGACTGTTGAAGTTTGGCCTTAAGGGTCATTGGTTCGACCTTACATAGCAACTCAACAGCACTGACTTGCCATGTCTGAAAGATAGTCGTCCAAGTTCGCATCGCTCCAGGAAGGAGGGCATGTTCCCATGACACAAACCAGACCACTGACTGCTCTGATGGCCAGAGCGTTTTATCTAAAGTTGCCCTGGAAACCGTAACTTTTTATTAATAGTTTCTATTTCAAGAAACTATTTCTGTAGTTGAGGCCACAGGGATAAGCCCACTTCCTCTTTTATTGGACCACCTTTCAATTATTTGAAGAAAGCTACCCCGCTTCCTTGGGCTTCTAGGCGGTGTTAGTGCTCAAGAACTCATCTGCCAATGCAGAGATGTAAGAGACATGGGCTTGACCCCTGGGTCAGGAAGATTCCCTGTAAGAGGGCATGGCAACCCACTCCAGTGTTCTTGCCTGGAGAATCCCATGGGCAGAGAGCCTGGTGGGCCGCAGTCCATACAGTCGCAAAGAGCTGGACAGACTGAAGCGATTTAGGTGCACACCTCTGGCCTCTTTGTGCTAACCTAGTCTGATGGTTTTGAAAAATGTAGCTTGGCTTAGGAGCCCATGCAATTCTCAACATCTCGGTAGACGTTTGCCAGGGGCCTCCTGCTTTCCAGAGAATAAGTTGTCGGGTTCATGAGTTGGCTCTCTGGGCGCATCTCCTACACCTCCCGTCTCCGTGGCTCAGTCACGTGGGACGCACACCTGTTCTAGGAGACCCTCCCCACGTCCTCTCTCTCTGCGGAAACAAGCTTCCTCTGTCTCCTGCCTGGCGCGTCCTTAGAGGCTCCAAAGTTCCCTCCTCGGTTCAAGAATCTCTATTCCTCCCGCCCGGGGACCCCTCCCCCGGCCCCGCCTCCGCGGCCCCGCCTAGGGACCCGCCCCGCCGCGGTCCTCCCTCCCGGGACCCGCCCCCTCCTGACTGTGCTCCTTCGGGACAGGAATTCACACCGCGCCAAGACAGAAGTAACAGAGGCTGACATCTGTTGGGTGCTTCCTCTCTGCCTGGCCCTCCAGGTACTACTTGTATTAACTCAACACTTTAACTCTATGAATTATTCATGTTATTCATGTTATTTAAAGATGGGGAAAATGAAACCCAAAGAAGTTGAAACAGCTAGTCAGAGAGAAAGCAGCTGGTCAAGTCAAGGTGCAGAGACCCGGACAGAGGCACCTGATGCGCTGGGTGCGCCTGGCTTCACTGCCTGCGGGTGAAAGGCGCCTCGTGATTAATACAGACGCACGGAACCTTCGAGACGTCAGGGACGGCCCAGCCCCTGAGCACGTGGTGCTTCTTAAGTGACCTCCCTTCCTACCTTTTCCTGGTGAGGGCTGGGAACCAGGATTCAAGGGAGGAAACAGCACACAGCTGTTCGGTTTCACAGTCACGTTTGGAATTTCTGATGAAATCTTCAAGAGAAAGGCTTTTACCGGTGTTTATACGCTGACAATCTGGCTGCAGTGAGAGGCTTTCAGATTGTTCTGCCCTGGTCCTGAGGTCGCCTGGACAGAGGAGGAAGGCCTGTGGAGAAGAAAGCAACCTGGGTGTCATCCTGCTGTCTCCAAGCAGGTCCCGACCTCCCCTCCGCCAGGTGAGGACCCTGCGGGTGGGAGCCATCCCAGATCGATTCTGTGCAACCTAATCAACAGGATCCTGGAGCCCACTTTTCTCCTCGAGGTCGGAGAGTGTGGTGCACGATATAGTCAAAGCCTTGGATCAGGCTGCTGGGAGGGGAGATGGGGCGCTGGCTGCCTGGGTGGTGGGGTGCACGCAGCCCCCAGCCCCACTTTTAACATTCATGGTCCATCTGAGTCAACCCAGGCACCTTAGTCAGGGTTCCCCAGAGAAACAGAACCCATGGGACATGCACGTATGCAGTACATATACATGCATGTATGGACGCATGTGTTATGAATATATCCCACTGGCTCTGTTTCTGCATAGAACCTTAACACACGCACAGACATACACACACAAACACAAAGCATTTATTACAAGGAATTGGCTCATGCGATGCAGGAGGCTAAGTCTCACCATCCACAGGGGAAGCCAGGAAAGCTGGTGGTTTCACCTCTAAATTCTAGCCTGAGTCCTACGACCCCAGAACCAGGAGCAGCGACAGTGTCAGCCTCAGCCCAGGGCCAGGAGAAGACGAGCGTCCCAGCCCACAGTCGGGCAGAGACAGCAAGCCCCCTCCTCTCCTGCCTTCTGTCCAGGGCACCTGTTGCAGCTTGCATGGGGCCATCTCCACCGGGAGGGGCATCTGCTTGGCTCTGCACTGGTTCAAAGGCTCATCTGACCAAGCAACAGGTGCCCAGATGAGAGCCAAGACTACAGCTGGGCCAGATATCGGGTCCCCGCAGCTCCGTCATTGACACAGAACACAGACCGTCACGGCAAGACAGGCTTTCTTCTATCAGAGCGCTTCCTGTCCTCCGGGGAGCTCTGTTCTTTGTGGGTGTGCTGTCTTTCATTTCAGCTCTCGCATGCTTCCAGCAGGCTCTGCAGGATCCAGCCAGCGCCCCTGCTCCAGAGGCTCTGGTCAGCGGTGCTGATGCTGGGCACGGGGCCAGCTTCGCTGTCACTTCCTCGGCTGCGGTGAATGCCGACCACGAGTCTGGCTCCGCTCCAGGCACTGGGCATCCAGCCGTGAATGGAAGCGAGAGAAACACTGCTTTCCAGGCGCGTACTGTACATCCAAGTGTAGGAAGAAAGCCTGTCAGGACCTGACCTGTCAGCTGGGAACAGCAGTGATGGAGACGGGCGGGGGTTGAGGAAGGGGGTGTAATCTCTAATGAGACGGCCTTTAAGCAGATCTCTGATTCCTGGTGGCTCAGACGGTAAAGAGCCTGCCTGCAATGTGGGAGATTCAGGTTCGATCCCTGGGTTGGGAAGATGCCCTGGAGAAGGAAATAGCAACCCACTCCAGTGACTTAGCAGCAGCAGCCAGTGTTCTTGCCTGGACAATTCCATGGATGGAGGAGCCTGGTGGGTTGTGGTCCATGGGGACCCAGAGAGTTGGACATGACTGAGCGACTCACACTTTTAACTGATCAAATGGTCTAGGGGTAGGGAACGGCTTCTTAGATATGACACAAAAGCTTTTGGTGACAAAAACAGATAAATCAAACTTCACTAACACCACAAATATTTGTGCTTCAAAGGACGTTGTTAAGAAAGTGAAAGAAAAAAAAAATCCCCCAAAATAGATGACAATGGTCGCAAATCATAGATGTGATAAGGGACTTGTGTCCAAAATATAGAAAGAACTCTTTCAACAGCAAAATGACAATCCGATTTTAAAATGGACAAAATAGCCATCTATGAATGGCCCTTTCTCCAAAGAAGATGCCCCAGTGGCCAATAAGCACGTGTGGAGGTGTTCCACTTCATTCGTTATCAGGGAAATACAAGCCACAACCACAACAGCACCCCGCGTCACCCCCACTGCCACAGCTGAAATTAAAGAGACGGACAGTGAAAAGTAGTTTTTGGCAAAGACGGCGGAAAACTGCAGCCCTCACACGCTGCTTCTGGAATGTAAATCAGTGCCGCCACTTCGGAAAACAGTTTGGTCATTTCTCAAGATGTTAGAGTTTCCATGTAACTCAGCTATTCCTCCCCTAGGTACATATTCAGGAAGAATAAACACATATTCATACAACACCTAGTTCACAGCTGTTCACAGCAGCATTGTTCAAAAAGTGGAAACAAAGCCAATGTCTGTTGACTGGTGAGTGGATACTGGATGGGGGTTCGTCCACATCACAGAATGTCATTCAGTCAGGAAAGGGAATGAAGTGCTGATGCCTGCTACAGCATGGATGGAACCCTGAAAACATAATGCTCGGTGAAAGGAGCCAGTCATAAAGGGCCACATACACTATGATTCCATTCATATAAAATGTTCAGAGGAGAATTCATAGAGACAGAAAGACAGATCAGTGGTTGCCAGAGGCTGGGGATGATGAAGATGGAGAATGATGCTAGAAAAGTAGGGGGCTCCTTCCAGTGATGACGAAAACCTGTCCTCAGAGCAGACAGTGGTGATGTCCGCACCATTCTGTGAACTTAACCACCAGACTGTGACTATACATAGACACTTGGAAGGGAGGAAATCTTAGGGCATGTTAATTATGTTTCAGTATGCCTGCCAATGCAGGAAACACAAGAGATGTGGGTTTGACCCTTGGGTCAGAAAGATCCTCTGGAGGGGTAAACGGCAACCCACTCCAGTATTCTGGCCTGGAGCACCCCACGGACAGAGGAGCCTGGCAGGCTACAGTCCGTGAGTCGCAAAGAGTCAGACATGACTGCGTGACTTCACTTTCACATTTTTTTGTAGATGATCTGAGACAGACAGGTCGGTATCACCACAGCACAAAGGAAATAACCGGGCAAGACCCCAAAGCAGACGGTGCGTGAGACAGCTGGCCTGGCCTTCTCCAAGCGTCACGGTCACTAAAAAACGGAAAGGTGTGACTATTTCAGTGAAAAACACACAACTCTGTGACTAAACCAGAAACCATCAAATTGCACATGTTAAATGGGTGAGCAGCATGCTATGAAAATTGTATATCAAAGCTTTTTAGAGAAAGGGGTAGCAGATAAATGTATGCATTCTTGTTTGAAAATACTCCTATGGATGAAATTTCATGGATGATTAGGAAAACCTGATCATCGGGCTAGGTATCAGCAGGTGGTAAGAAGGACTGACTTTTCTTTGGTGTAAGAGAGGTCTGGGTTACGGGCGAGAGTCTCCTTTATAATAATCAGGAGGCTCAAGCCAAGGTATTTATTCACAGCTAAAGACTCCTGATGCCTAAAGAATAGTGATTCTCAAAAGTGTCCCCAAAAAGGATGGAGAGGCAAAATGAATGAGCCAAAATGTTAGTATTTGAATCTGGGTAGTTGTTCATTCTACTGTTCTTTTTTTTTAAAGAAGTAGTACATGGTACATTTAGTAGGCCTGAGTTTACCCAACAGTATATGTGGAGAAAAATGATAATTTTTCCTCCTGCCAGCTGGGGGGCACTTCGCCCCATTTATCACAGTGACCCCTCAAGGTCACGTGAGAGCCCCCGGGTCTGGGTGCGGGGCGGCCTCTCTCTGGGCCCCACCCCGGGTCCTGAGGCTGTGACCTTGTCCAGGGCAGCTCGAGTGAGCGCAGGATTGGTGCCGCGTCCTGAGATGGGGTCCACCCTGGACACCTGGGGGTCCGCCCTGACGGCTGATCTCTGGCCGCTACGAGGGCCGAGGTGCCTCTGGAGGAGCCCCACCCAAGTCTCTCCAAGCTCTGGACCCTCTTTCTCTTCTTGTTCTACTGCTCACCCCTACTCCCCAAAAGCTCTTTGCTTTTCTTCTCCCCTGAGCACACTTCCTCCAATGTAATGAGGTTTCCAAAACAAACAAGAAAGGAGAGTCACTCCAAACAAGGTCAGTTCTCTGCCCGCATCACGAACCTCCCCCAGAACTGCAGAACGCAGAGCACAGATTCTAGACTGTAAATCACCCTGCAATACCCCCCACCCCCGGCACCAAAACCAGAGAAACAGCTGTGGGTGCCAGGCCACTTAACGACAAAGACACTTTACAAAAGAAATTCATTTAGCATTTCTCAAAGCATGCTGCATAGTCAGAGTGGTACCTTAAGTAAGGAAAAGAAAGTCTGTGATGAACTAACTTTTGCTGGAAGGAAAGAATGGGTGGAGACACTCCTGCTCCTCCAGGCATGGAGCCTCCATTTTCCTCGGCATCGTCTTAGACTGTCATCAGCATCTTGCACGGGGCAGAGAAGGCGGCAAACAGGGGCGGGGCGGTCCAGGGCCCATTGCGGCCAGGAGCCCAGGGCTCTGCATCCTCCAGGCAGGCAGGTGACAACCTGGGTCCCTGGATGCACGGGCGCACCTGGAACCAGACTCCATCTCATCTTTAAAGAATCACTTAGACATATTTCTTCTTCTATTGCCATAAATGCTGGCTTCATTTCTTATGAGATTAACAGTGTCCCCCCACCTTCCTCTGCCTCCTTGCTGGGAAAATGCCCACTGGAGAGACAGAAGGCAGAGCTGTCCCTTCTGCACCCTGATGCCTGATCACCTTGCTGAGCAGGACGCCTTCCCGCCCGGAAATATGGAGGAGACCGTGCAGGTTCACAGGCTCAGCAAACAGGCCAGAGCTGCTGATTCCCAGAGGGGCTACCACCACCCGCTCTGGGTTTGTGTTCGGCGACCCTCAGGCTGCCCATGACTGTTTTTCAAGGTGAGCGACTCTTTACCCCAAAGAAACACCAGCAATGCAAAGGGTGAGTGAGAAACGGGGTGTGTAGGGAACGGCCGATGGCTTGCTTCCCGCAGCGACAGGGACTGTCTATCCCTAGTCCGCCTGTGTCCCTTTGGAGGGTCCGTGGACCTTTCAGACGTGTACAGTATCGTGGAATCAAATGACCCCCAAGCAGTAGGTTTCCAAGCTTCCCTTCTCCTCGGGCTGTTCTTAACCACGCTCCCATCTCCCCCATCCTACAAAATCAAACAAAGCCGTCACCCCCAGAGCAGCAACCTTCTGCAGCCCTGCTCTGACTCCCGCCTTAGTGCCGGATTCTGGCTCCTCGTCTGCCTGGAGGGAGCCTCATCCCTCCCCCAACCCGTTCTGCTCCTGAAGCCAGAAGCCTCTTCCTCCGGCTCTGGGGGCCACACGTGGGGTCTCGGGCCAAGCATCACCTCCCTCTGGGGCAGATTCCCAGGAAGTGAGGCTGTGAGCGGAAGGAAGTTGCCGGGCCGCTGACCTTAGCAGGATGGCGTGGTCTGTGCCCGCCGGGATCACTCACTTCTAAAAATAAATTTCTTTCAGTTATACTGGGATATGATGGACATTTAGCACCGTGTAGGTTTAAGGTGGGAGAAGGCAATAGCACCCCACTCCAGCACTCTTGTCTGGAAAATCCCATGGACGGAGGAGCCTGGTGGGCTGCAGTCCATGGGGTCGCGAAGAGTCCGACACGACTGAGCGACTTCCCTTTCACTTTTCACTTTCATGCATTGGAGAAGAAAATGGCAACCCACTCCAGTGTTCTTGCCTGGAGAATCCCAGGGACGGGGGAGCCTGGTGGGCTGACATCTATGGGATCACACAGAGTCGGACACGACTGAAGTGATTTAGCCGCAGCAGCAGGTTTAAGGTGACCAAAGTATTGGAGTGTCAGGTTCCGCATCAGTCCTTCCAACGAACACCCAGGACAGATCTCCTTTAGGATGAACTGGTTGGATCTCCTTGCAGTCCAAGGGACTCTCAAGAGTCTTCCTCCAACACCACAGTTCAAAAGCATCAATTTTTCAGTGCTCAGCTTTCCTTATAGTCCAACTCTCACATCCATACATGACTACTGGAAAAACCATAGCCTTGACTGGATGGACCTTTGTTGGCAAAGTAATGTCTCTGCTTTTTAATGTGCTATCCTGATGTGCAGAGCTGACTCATTTGAAAAGACCCTGATGCTAGGAAAGATTGAAGGCAGGAGAAGAAGAGGATGACAGAGGATGAGATGGTTGGATGGCATCACTGACTCAATGGACATGAGTTTGGGTAAACTCTGGGAGCTGGAGATGGACAGATGGAGGCCTGGCGTGCTGCGGTCCACGGGGTCACAAAGAGTCGGACACGACTGAGCGACTGAACTGAAGTGAACTGAGGTTTAAGGTGCACAGCACCTCCATTTTCCAACCTTTTGGGGTCTTGCAGTTACCTTGTCCTCAAGTATTGCTTAAAAATAGAGTGATACTGTGGAAAAGCACGCCTAGGGCAGAGACGGGGCTGCATGTGAGAAGTGTGAGAAGGCGTGGATCATGGAGACAGGACTGGGCCTCAGCCCTTGGTTACAGGAGACCTTGGTGGGAACCCTGAGGTTCCCACATTAGTCCACCCTGGGCAGGGGGTCCTCTGTCCCACACCCAGCGATGCTCTCTGCCCACAATCTGTTCCCTTAATAGATGTGGGGTGCCTTTGCCTCAGAGAGGTGCAGAGTCACAGCAGAAGTTTGCTTTAATATACTTTTAAGATTGGAAAAACAAGAGTACATGTATTTCCCTATAAAAATATTCCATGAGATGGGGGAGGGGAGGAGGGGGAAGAAGAGAGGGGTGGGGGTGGAGGGGAAGACCCACCAGAGGGGTGGGGTGGGCACCCCACAAAGGCGGGGTCTTGATTGAATTCATGAATGTTTAAAAGAACACATTCAAAAACGCATACGAAATATGCTCATGGAACTCAGTTCACTGGAATATGTCAATATTAGATTCAACACAGGCTGAAAGAAAAATCCTTATAGTGTGATGCATTAATTGCATGGTGAAAAACATTAAAAATAAGCCTATTTTTAAAAGCCCTTTTGTGTTAGTATTTAGCCAGAATGTTACTTGAGAGTGTGCAATGTCTTATTCGGGTTTCCCCTGTGGCTCAGCTGGTATAGAGAAAGCTGAGCTCCCAAGAACGGATGTTTTTGAACTGTGGTGTTGGAGAAGACTCTTGAGAGTCCCTTCGGACTGTTAGGAGATCCAACCAGTCCATCCTAAAGGAGATCAGTCCTGAATATTCATTGGAAGGACTGATGATGCTGACGCTGAAGCTCCAATAGTCTGGCCACCTGATGCAAAGAACTGACTCCTTAGAAAGGACCCTGATGCTGGGAAAGCTTGAAGGCAGGAGGAGAAGGGGAAGACGGAGGATGAGATGGTTGGATGGCATCACCGACTCGATGGACATGAGTTTGAGTCAGCTGCGGGAGGTGGTGATGGACAGGGAGGCCTGGCGTGCTGCAGTCCATGGGGTCGCAAAGAGTCCGACACGACTGAGCGACTGAACTGACTGAACTAATAATCTCTTATTCAAGGCCGCCGGGCGCGCAGGGCAGCGCGCGGCCAGGCGCTCTGAACAGTCGGTGGAGGAAGCCGTCCTGCCCCGAGTCAGGAGCGGGTGGCCCCGGGTTGAGAGCCCGCCTCCCTTTCACTGAGTGGGCTAGAGGGGCCCGTCCTGACTCTTACTCTGCCAGGGGGCTGTCTCCAACACGGCAGCCGAGCTGTCCTCCTCCAACGGGACCCCGCGATCGCCTGTGAACCCTTCCAACAGCCCCTGCGAGCTGAAGGGCTGAACCAAACGCCGGCGCGACGCGCCCCGTGCTCCCGGAGCTCCTGGCACCCTCACGTGTAGGCATCTTCCCCTCCGACTGAAGGGTAACCTCCATTTATTTACCCCAGGTTCCCAAACGCATCTCTGTTTCTCGCCTGCAGAGTGGCGAGGCCCCAAAGATGTTTAAAAAGTCGGCTCACCTTTGTCCATCTTTGCTCCATCAATTCTAACAGCTGAAAACGCGGTCACGGAAAGGGTTTCTTTCCGCGCGGTTTACCTTTCCCAGCCCTTCCGTCCCTGACCGCCAGAAGCTCTGCATCCGCGCCCCGCCCCCCGCGACGCCGGCCCCGGCCGCGGGAGGCATTTCCGCCTGGGGTCCTCCGGCCCCTCGCTCCTCTCCGCTTCTCCTCCGATCTCCGCGCCTGAGCCCGCTGTTGTCTGACTCCTCTGCACGCAGCACCTTCGTGCGGGGACGTCGTGTGTCACTGCGGTCCTGGCAAAGTGACAGGAGCGGACGGTGCGCTTCCTGGACGCGGGGTCGCTAGAGGATGCGCGGACGGAGCTGGGATAACGGAGTCCCAGGTCGGTGGTCGCGCTGTAGGGTGTGCTGCGGCCCCACCTAGAGGCGAAACGCAGAACAGCACCCCGCTGGGGCCGCCTGCGGGCGCGGTTTCAGTTCAGTCGCTCAGTCGTGTCCGACTCCGCGACCCCACGGACTGCAGCACGCCAGGCCTCCCTGTCCATCACCAACTCCCGGAGCTTGCCCAAACTCATGTCCATCGAGTCGGTGATGCCATCCAACCATCTCGTCCTCTGTCGTCCCCTTCTCCTCCCGCCCTCAATCTTTCCCAGCATCAGGGTCTTTACCCATGAATAGTTCTCCGCATCAGGTGGCCCAAAGTATTTGAGTTTCACCTTCATCATCACGTCCTTCCAGCGAATATTAAGGGTTGATTTCCTTTAGGATGGACTGATCGGATCTCCTTGCAGTTCAAGGGACTCTCAAGAGTCTTCTCCAATACCACAGTTCAAAAGCTCAATTCTTCGGTGCTCAGCTTTCTTTATATATAGTCCAACTCTACATGACTGCTGGAAAAACCATAGCTTTGACTATGCAGACCCTTGTTGGCAAAGTAACGTCTCTGCTTTTTAATATGCTGGCAAGGTTACCACGGGGTAATTACAGACGGCTGGCCTCGGGAGAAACCCCTGTGGTTTCAGAGGATTCACTGACTGCACTCATACCGTGATACTTAAACACGTTTCTGCCTCAGATGCTTTGTTGAAACATTTAGCAATCAGAGAGCCACAAGCGGTTTTTAAGGATTGATATTGATTCGATCAGTGACTTCCTGTTCTTCACTGTGTCTGTGAAGTGAGGACGCTCAGTCATGTCTGACATTTTGTGACCCTATGGACTGTAGCCCTCCAGGCTATGGGTGGCCTTGGAGCTCCGTCCCTTCAACCGGCCTGTGGGGGACAGGGGATCCCCTGTCACCCGTCTGCCTGCCTGCAGTGGTAGAAACGGTGGGGTATTCTGTCTATAAAAGGAGTCAGCCGTTTTACTAAACCACTAAGCAGTTCTGAGCAGAAGGGATCACCCTTACATCTCCAATAGTTGGCAATAAAGCACCTGGATCTCTTAATCCTAAGAGATCAAGTTTGCTCTTAATCTATGATTAGCTGGTGGCAGGGCCTTCCTCTCCCGGGTCAATGCTTAGCTGTCTGCGTGGCATGTGGGCGTTTCCTGCCAGCACTTCTCATTACGGTCAGACGCCTAAATGCTGTGAACGTTGGAGAGAGAAGATCAGTAAACAATTTCGATGATCTGTCTCCAGGTTAAAATTCAAACACACCTGACGAGAGGGCCCTCTGAGCCTGTTGGACTGTGACCCTCCACGGTTTCTGAAAGGGTCACATTTAAACTGTCTGGTCAGCAACTGTGGAAAGAAAAGGAAAAGAGGGTGTGTCCTCCTAACCGGGAAGAGTTATTTTGAATTCACACAGGATCAGCACTGTGATCCTTAACCCTTATCTTGCCGCTTTCATTATTTTGCTATCATTACATAATGGCTTGCCTCAGGGAGACAAGGTGACGCCCACCTGTGGAGGACTGTGGCATTTCTTGAATTATTTGTGTGGCAAATGGCTCGGCGCCCCCTTGTGTCTGCTACTTACCTGCATGCCCCAGAAATCCACATTTGGGGAGGCCAGAGTCAGACAGATGTGGCATCTGTCTGTTGACATGGCATGGCAGGAGATGTTCCCTTTCACACCACCCATGAGATGTCTCTAAGGAAGTGAAGCTAACACATCTCCTTGCCTGAGGCCTGCCATTCTAGGGCACGTTTGCAAGGGTTGAAGTGAAGTGAAGTGAAGTCGCTCAGTTGTGTCCGACTCTTTGTGACCCTGTGGACTGTAGCCCACCAGGCTCCTCCGTCCATGGAATTCTCCAGGCAAGAATACTGGAGTGGGTTGCCACTTCCTTCTCCAGGAGATCTTCTTGACCCAGGGATTGAACTTGGGTCTCCCACATTGAGGGCAGACGCTTTACCGTTTGAGCCACTAGCAAAGTCTTGGCAAGGGTTGAATAGTCTTTTTACTTTGTTTCCTCACCTCCTCCCATTTCTAATCCGTAAAAGAACCTGGCATCCAGGCCCCAGCAAGATGGTTATTTTGAGGCTCCCGATTGCAATCTTCTTAGTCAACTGGTTCCCGAATAAAGTCCCTTCCCCATCTTCTCACCTCGTGTCGGATTTATTGACCTAGCTTGCTGGGAGCAGAGTGAGTTTGGACTCAGTAACACCCTGAGTCTTTCACAGGCACTGACTTCATCCTCTCTTCATCCTGTGAGGTCAGTATTGTCACCTTTCTCGTCTGGAGCCTGAGAGAAGTGAGGTCTGCTCAGTCACCTTCCCAGAGCCAGGAAGCTAGTATTCAGTGGCACTGAATTCTCTCCCATGCAAGACATTAAAATACAACACAGTTTTCAAAGATACGATTCTTAATGGGTTTTAGCTTTTCCTCCCTTGCCTATGGGATAGCTCGAGGAAAAAGCACAAACTCTGTGCAAAACTTGAATTTACAGGCTTCTCCTTGTGCTCCTGTTCTCGGGCAGTTCACTTTACCTCCCCCGATCTCAATTCCCCACGAGGAACTTTGTGGATAAAACAGTAAAATGACTAAATGATCATTTAGAGACTGGCACCTACTCTGCACTAGAACTCCAAGCACAGTCGAATGGGTCGTGTACTAAACAATCTGTGCACCTCCGTCAAAGATGCCCAACCCAAGGCCACTTAGCTTTGGCTCCCTTGGCTTTGGAAAGGAATTAGAGCGTGCAAAGGTATTTTGAATTTTTTCAAATCACATAAAGGGTTTTCTTTTAAAAGGGGAAACAGGCAAGTAAATCTAGTACTCCCTGTTCAAGAAGGCCAGAGGCATAAGAGAGGTTCAGAGGAGAGATCGCTTGGCTGGGACTATGCCCCGGTTGCCTGGCAACAGAGGAGCCCCCCCCCCCCCCCCAGAGGAGGGGCTTGGAATGTTTGTCTGTTTCCAGAGCAACTCCCAGCCTCAGCAGCCGCAGGTGGAAGGTGGCGATGGCTGAGGACCCGGAGCCTGAATGTAAGTAGATGCTGAGCGTTTTGTGTTTGGTGTTTGATGTTTGTTGAATGTTTGATTGCCTAGGAACCAACTTCTCTAACCCAGTGTGGAAAATGAAAACCTTTCTGGCAGTGCAACTCAGCTCCCGGGGTCATCGGGATTTAGGACTGGATTTGGGAATCAGAGCTTTTTCAGAAAATCCAGTAATAAAAGGCAGAAAACGAGGTTGGACATGTGTATGTGTGTGTGTGTGTGTGTGTGTGTGTGTCCTCTGGGAGGAGGAGAAATAGGAAATTTCTAGACACTGCTTCTGTGTTCTTTAAAAAAAAAGATGACACATTTAGAGACATTTCCTTTGGCAGATGGCCCTTCTATAATCCTTAATAAACAGCCACACACCACAGAACATGCACACCGCTGCGTACAAAGTGCTTCCCCGTCTCTGATTTAGTTTCACATCTCTGGAGGCTGGGTTATTGTGATTTTGCAAATGGGGCAGAAGGGGCTCACCTGGGTCTGAACTCTGAAGCTCTTGCTTTCTCACCACACAGAGTGCATAAAAGCATTGATGACTCAGATGAACTGGGGGCAGAGAGAAAACTCTGGTTGAAATATTTGTTAGTTTATATCTAGTCCAAAAAGCCAATTGCTGTGTCTTCCTTATCAGCATCTATTCAGAAGTTGGTTTGGTTTTACTTAAAGCAAATTTATTCTCTGATCATTTTGTAAAGAACAGCATATTCCATGAATCCTTTCAGGATTTTTTTGTTTTCTTTTCCTGCTTGTCAGGTTGACATGGCAGGATATGCAAATCACAGTGTTTACAGTTTAAAATTCTTCAAAGTTTTTCATGGCTTACTTGGGACCCCTGGTGCTTATCACAGGATCTTGGCAGAGAGAAATGGAATCTGGATTCTCTAGGTCTAGTGAAACAAGTCTTTCTGCAAACTAAGGAAAACAAATTTTAAGTCTGGAATTACTAGCTAATTAATTTGCTGGTGACTCCAAATCCTTTTTTGGAATAGAATAAACAAAGAAAAACACAACAATTAAGTCACCTCCTCTCATTTTCCAAAGAGGGTTGGTCTAATGCATGTGATGGTGAATTTTATGTGTCAATTTATGTGGGCTACTGGGTTGTATATTTGGCCAAGCTTTCTGGATGTTCCTGTTGAGGTGTTTTTGGATGAAATGAACATTTAAATAAGAAGCCGTTGAGTAAGACAGATTCCCCTCCATAGTGTGGGTGGGTCACATCTAATCAGTTGAAGATCTTAAAAGAAAAAGACTGACCTCCCACTAGCAAGAGAAAATTCTCCAGTAGAAGGCATTTGGATGAACTTTGTCTTCAGCCTGCTACCCATCTTGCAGATTTTGGACTCTCCTTTTTTTGCATAACTGTGTGAGTCAATTCCTTATAATAAACCTCTGTCCTAGACTACCTTACCTGTCTTCTTAGAAATCTGTATGCAGGTCAAGAAGCAACGGTTAGAACTGGACATGGAACAAATGACTGGTTCCAAATTGGGAAAGGAGTACGTCAAGGCTGCATATTGTCACCTTGTTTATTTAACTTACATGCAAAGTACATCATGTGAATTGCCAGGCTGGATGAATGACAAGCTGGAATCAAGATTGCTGGGAGAAATATCAACAACCTCAGATATACAGATGGAATCACTCTAATGATAGGAAGTGAAGAGGAACTAAACAGTTTCTTGATGAAGGTGAAACAGGAGAGTGAAAAGCTGGCTTGAAACATTCAAAGAACAAAGATCATGGCATCTGGTCCTGTCACTTCATGGCAAATAGATGGGGAAAAAGTGGAAACTGTGACAGACTTAATTTTCTTGGGCTCCAAAATCACTGCAGATAGTGATTACAGCCATGAAATTAAAAGATGCTTGCTCCTTGGAAGGAAACCTATGACAAACCTAGACTGCATATTAAAAAGCAAGAGACATCATTTTGCTGACAAAGGTCTGTACAGTAAAAGTGATGGTTTTTCCATAGTCATATATGGATGTGAGAGTTGGACCATAAAGAAGAAATGATTCTTTGAATTGTTATGTTGGAGTGCCTTGGACTGCAAGGAGATCCAACCAGTCAATCCTAAAGGGAATCAACCTTGAATATTCATTGGAAGGACTGATGCTGAAGTTGGAGCTCCAATACTTTGGCCACCTGATGCGAAAAGCTGACTCATTGGAAAAGACCCTGATGTTGGGGGGATTGAAGATTGGAGGAGAAGGGGACAACAGAGGGTGAGATGGTTGGATGGCATCACCAACTCAGTGGATATGAGTTTGAGCAAATTGTGGGAGACACAGGAGCACTGGAAGCCTGGTGTGCTGCGGTCTGTGAGATTGCAATGAGTTGGACACAACTGAGTGACTGAAAAACAATGTGTTCATCCTTCTGGGTCTGTTTCCCTGGAGAAGCCCAACTAATGTGATGCTTTTTAGTGCTTTCTTTATGTGTTGGTGCTGTTGATGAATTAGAATGATTATCAATTAAGATAGATCTTAATTGAAAACTTGTCTTGAAAACTTGTTTAATTAATATTTTAACATTTCTTAACTGCTTTCTTTGAAGTGCTAATCTATTTGATAGGGAAACTTTCCACGATCCCATTGCTCCCAGATCCAGCTACCCAGGAGGAACAGGCTGATTTCTTTCTGCCCCGGGCCCTGCCCCCTGCTGCCCCCTGCCCAGCACAAACCCTGGGACTGAACTTGAGGCGAGGACTCCATGGCTGCACCATGTGAGATGTCACCGGTGACTCAGGGCCGGGAGAGCATCAGGTGGGCCTGGCCTAACCACATGAAGTCAGGGATGGGGCAGGGTCAGAGGTCAAGGGCACGGGAAATATGTGGAGTGCCCTTGCTGGCTCAGGGATGGAGGCCATGTGACTGGGAAGGTGGGAGACCCCAGGAGTCAGGAACGAACTCCACCAGCAGCCACCAAGGGGGTGGGGACCTCTGTCTTAGAGCTGCAAGGAGCTGGATCCCGTCCCAGCAGGACGGAGCCCAGGACAGATTTCCCCAAGGCATCCAGGAGCCAGCCAGTCCCGACCCTGATGTGTGCGTGGTGATCTCAGCATGGAGCCCGGCCTGCGTCCTGAGGTGCCACCACGGGGCGGGGGCCCCTGGACGCAGGGCTTCTCAGACCGCGCGAGTCGCTGTCACCCCGCACCCCCTTGTGCCCTCAGCCCTTCCCTCCAAGGACAACGCGGGGGTCGGGGACGCGGCCTGAACTCGGTCTCGGCCAGAGGAGGGGACTCAGCGTGGGTCCCAGGAGGCCCTGCCCTGGCCCCCTTGGCTCAGGCTGAGCGAAGAGCCACAGGTGGGGTGGAAAAGCCGAATTCAGAAGCCACGCTGGCACTCGGCAGGTGTGGGGACCCGCGCTGGTCACCCCGCTGCCCTCGGCCTCCCTGGAGCAGAAGGGGCCTCCTTCCAGACGGGACGGCCTGTGCGGATGTGGGCAAAGCCTCGGCCTCCGGGAGCTCAGGATGGACCCTCGAGGGTCCAGATGGGCCTGGTCCAATGCCCTGCGGCGGGGCCCCTCCAGCTCGGGGGACAAGGCAGGACGCAGACAGCAGGGCATCTGCTGGTGAATGCCTGCAGGCGTCTCCAGGCAGGCCGCGTGGCGGGTCAGCGCCGGCCCGGAGGAAGCCCCTGCTGCCCCTCTGCGGTGCTGGGCACTCACATCCTCCTGGAAGCCCTTAGAAGGTGTTCCCTGGACTGCAGTCCTTTGATGACGTAGGCAGCATTTCTGGAATTTCTCCTCCTTGCCAGGTGCTTCTTTGCCAAAAGCAATTGTATTTGGTTGTCAATTAGCCTTACTGAGTGGGACGAATCTCCTAATTTTGCTGAAGAAACGGCTTCAGAGAGATGATATAAGATCTCTGAGTTCACGTAGTAGGAAAAGGTCTCAAAAAGTTGGCTTTTCCCATCATCTTCTGTCCTGGGCCAAACATCCAAATGAACCCTTACTTCTGGGACCCTTTGTGGAGGGGGCTGGGGTCCCCAGGTTTCACTCTGTGGGTCATTGTCTTCCTCGGAGTGGGGAAGGGTGGAGGCCGAGTGATTGACTCATCCACCTCGCACAGGTTTGCTCAGGACTCCTGACATGTTAAGTTTTAAGCAAGGAAGAATAACAGCTCTATTTATTCCCTAGCATAGCTGTCTTTAGGCGTCAGCTTTGAGAATTATGATTAGACCTTTACAATTTCTTCCAGAGCCTTTGCTAATAGAGTAAGAATTTCCCTGTTGGAAGGAGAGGGTGAGATGGAAGGAGAGAGTAGTGTGGGACACATATACACTAACATGTAAATAGATAGCCAGTGGGAATTTGCTCTATGACTCAGGGAACTCAAACTGGGGCTCTGGGACAACCCAGAGGGGTGTGGGATCACACCTGTGGCTGATCTGTGTCGATATATGGTAGAAACCAACAATATTGTAATCATCCTTCAACTAAAAATAATTTTTTTTTTTTTACCGTGCAACAAAACCTTTATCAACATTTTGGACAGGTTTAGCTGTTACTGAAAATGGTCATTTCTAAAAATCAATTGGGGTAAATGACTAGAGTGCAGAATGATGCATCACTGGGCATTATGAATAGAATGAACAGCCACCCCTCAGATGGAGGACAGGTTGCGGGGTCGATGCCTCCTGGATGTTGTAACCAGAAAGAGTGCAGCCGTCTTGCCAGCAAAGATGAGCCTCTGCCGGTCAGGGGGAATGCCTTCCTTATCCAGGATCTTGACAGAAAACCACAGAATTCTGTAAAGCAATTATCCTTCGATTAAAAAAATAAATTAATTAAAATTAAAACTAGATTTCCTGTGGGAGCCAAGTCCCCACTTCCTCCTTCTCGGCCCTGCGGGTCCCGGCTTGCTGATGGGATTGCCCGTCACCTGCCCCCACCCCAGCCCTCCTCTGTAGCCGGGCTGGCCTTCCCTGCTTCCTCTCCGCGGGCTCCTGCTCTGGGAATGGAAGTCTCCAGCTCAGCAGGTGAACAGGCCCGTTTATGGCCTCAGTCGGGAACTAGAGTGGGACTTACGGGTCTTCTTGTCTTTCCTGACCAGTTTACCTGAGGTGGAAGCACTGTGAGACGCCAGGTGTTAAGACTCTGTGCAATCTGAGGACGCTGCTGAACCAGCTCCAGAAAGACCACAGAGATGACGTCTGCATGTACATGTCCGGACACCTGAACCCCAACAAGCTCTACAGGCCCCCGGAGACCATCCTGTATCACTGGCCCAACGCCAACAGGCCCCCGCAGGCAAAAGTCTTCGGAGCAGAGAGGCTATCTGATGAGGTTAAGAAGATGAAAGATGCTTTGGCTCGTTTTACCATCAGCACAGCGGTGGGCCCGAGTGATGCTGAGAACACACCACTCTTCAGGTATCTGAACCCTCCCGCGCAGGCCTCCCACGCTTCGCAGGAGGACGTGAGTCCTAAGGCGGGGTTGAGAGAGGAGGGCTCTCCTGAACGGCCAAAGAGAGGGGAGCTGATATTGCCCGACATAAAGGTCCTGAAGTACAAGGAGGTGACGTCCAGCCGTGAGTGCGTGTCGTCCCCGCCAGGCAGGGACGAGTTCCAATACGTCAGCTCGTACTTGGCCGGCGTAACGAAAGCAGACAGGTACAGGCAGTTCTTGAGCTTCCAGAAACAAGTGCTGGCAAAGCAAGACCTCCTGATGAGGGACTTCACTGGGAGCCAGGCAGCGAGGTGCCACGAGAAGAAGCTGGAGCAGGTAAGGAGGGCAGTTCTGTGATGCTGTGGGTGCCCCCGCCGGGCCCAGGAGTCTCAAGACTGTGGGCAGAGACTCACCCTCCGAGGCCACACTGACACTTTCAGGTGGAACAGAAAAGGGCTGCCAGTTGCTGAGAATGTCCCACGTGATGCAGATGATGACAGTTGTTGTTGTTTGATCACTGAGTCCCACCTGACTCTTGCGACCCTGGGGACTATAGCCCACCCGGCTCCTCTATCCATGGGATTCTCCAGGCCGGACGACTGCAGTGGGTTGCCATTTCTTTCTCCAGGGGTCTTCCCAGCTCAGGGATCAAACCCCAGTCTCCTGAATTGCAGGAGGATTCTTTAATGCTGAGCTACCAGGGAAGCCCAGATGCTAACACTTAGGGTGCAAGAAAGGCAGTTTGGGAACTGGTGCCTTGGAAGTGCTTTCACAATGGAAAGTGGTGGCCAAGGAACTGAAACAAATGCCCCCGGGACAGCAGAAACAGCAGAGACAAGGTTTTCCTGAGTCTTTAGGAAAGAATCAAAGGGAGGCCGAGGAGAGAGTTGAGGATGCAGGTGAGTCTGTGTAGGAGTCTCTCCATCTGTAGAAGGAGGTTAGGTGTCATGGGATGCGCTACTGAGAACCGACTGTGGTACTTAGTGATGGGAGACCTGGTGTTGGAAGGGTGAGGATGCAGGAAAGAGTCAACATGTGAAATAACCAAACCTTGATGAGAGCTTTGGCTGGGAGGACCGGTGGAAAGAGAAGGACCTTGGAAACACTATGAAGGCAGAGAGGCATTCTTTATTCCCTTGACTCACAGGATGCAAGGGAATAAATGAAGTCAGGCGATCTAGAGCCTCAGCACCGAGTGGTTTGCTACCCAGCCCTGCCCGAGAACTAATGCCTGCCCGAGAAACTAATCAGAAAGGAAAACGAAGTCAGCCTGAAGCAGGGTGGTTCTCTTTTCCTCCAGGAGCTCCAGAAAATATGTGTCTGTGACCCTGAAGAGTTCAACAGACTCCAGGTCTTTGGAGAAGTCTTTGAAGATATTTGCAATAGTTCTTTGATATTTGGTGATATCTTGAAAGAAATTAAGGTAATAGACACATGTGTTTCCCAGGTAGCAGTTGAGAGCCAGGCATGAGTTTTTGCATACATGAGCTCAGGCCATGCAGAAATTCTGCCGTGTTTCATGGTGTCCATTCTGCACAGGAGGAGAATCATTCATGGAGAGTCAGGGGAATGTGTGCAGCCACATGAGTCATAAGCGGACTGTGTGAGAAAAACACTCAGCTAGCTCACTTCTGAAGCCCATATTTTTCTACGAAAGCTTCCTAATTATAATATAAACTCTTATCAACTGCACATAAATGTTCACAGAAACTTCTAAAGCTATCCATATGTAACTTTAAATGCATCTTCATGGAGTTTTAAGTTTCTTGTCATTTCCTGCTGAAAGTGACCATCATATCAGAGCTGAGTTGGAATCAGATTGCTTGATGGGTCTGTTATTGTCCATTCCCAAATGTAAGTAAGGCTTAAAAGCAAGATGCAGTGACCAGTCTCCATCCCTGGAGCATTCATCTCTAGGAGATTTGTTGTTCTTGTTCCATTGCTCAGTTGTGTCTGATTCTTTGTGACCCCATGGGCTCCATGCCAGACTTCCCGTCCTTCACCAGCTCCTGGAGCTTGCTCAAACTTATGTCCATTGAGTCGGTGATTCCATCCAGCCATCTCATCCTCTGTCGTCCCCTTTTCCTCTTGCCCTCAATCTTTCCCAGCATCAGGGTCTTTTCCAGTGAGCTGGCTCTTCCCATTACGTGGCCAAAGTATTGGAGTTTCAGTTCCGGCATCAGCCCTTCCAGTGAATATTCAGGACTGATTTCCTTTAGGATTGACTGGTTTGATCTCCTTCCTGTCCAAGGGTAGCTCAAGAATCCTCTCCAGCACTACAGTTCAAAGCATCAATTCTTTGGTGCTCAGCTTTCTTTATGGTCCAACTCTCACATGCATACATGACTACTGGTAAAACCATAGCTTTGATTATATGGATCTTTGTCAGCAAAGTAATGTCTCTGCTTTTTAATACACTGTGTAGGTTTGTTGCAGCTTTTCTTCCAAGAGGCAAGTGTCTTTTAATTTCATGGCTGCAGTCACCACCTGCAGGGATTTGGGAGCCCAAGAAAATAAAGTCTGTGACTGTTTCCATTGTTTCCCCATCTATTTGCCATGAAGTGGTGGGACCAGATGCCCTGATCTTTGTTTATTTGAATGTTGAGTTTTAAGCTAGCTTTTTTGCTCTCCTCTTTCACCTTCATCAAGAGGCTCTTTAGTTCCTCTTCGCTTTCCTGCCATAAGGGTGGTATCATCTGCATACCTGAGGTTATTGATATTTCTTGCAGCAATCTTGATTCCAGCTTGTGCTTCATCCAGTGTGGCATTTCACATAATATAACCTGCATATAAGTTAAATAAGCAGGATGACAATATACAGCCTTGATGTACTCCTTTTCCAACTTGGAAAAAGTCCATTTTTCCATGTATGGTTCTAACTGTTGCTTCTTGACTTGCATACAGGTTTCTCAGGAGGCAGATAAGGTGGTCTGGCATTCCCATTTCTTTAAGAATTTTCTACAGTTTGTTGTGATCCACACAGTCAAAGGCTTTAGCATAGTCAATAAAGCAGAAGTAGATGTTTTTCTGGAATTCCTTTGCCTTTTCTATGATCCAGTGGATGTTGGCAATTTGATCTCTGGTTCCTCTGCCTTTTCTAAATCTAGCTTGAACATCTGAAAATTCTTGGTTCATAACTGTTGAAGCCTGGCTTGGAGAATTTTGAGCATTACTTTGCTAGCATGTGAGATGAGTGTAATTGTGCCGTAGTTTGAGCATTCTTTGGCATTGCCTTTCTTTGGGATTGGAATGAAAACTGACCTTTTCCAGTCCTGTGGCCACTGCTGAGTTTTCCAAATCTGCTGGCATATTGAGTGCAGCACTTTCACAGCATTATCTTTCAGGATTTGAAATAACTCAGCTGGAATTCCATCACATTCACTAGCTTTGTTCATAGTGATGCTTCCTAAGACCCACTTGACTTCACATTCCAAGATGTCTGGCTGTAGGTGAGTGATCACACCATTGTGGTTATCTGGGTCATGAAGATCTTTTCTGTACAGTTCTCCTGTGTATTCTTGCCACCTCTCCTTAATATCTTCTGCTTCTCACAGGTTCAGTTCAGTTCAGTCGCTCAGTCGTGTCCAACTCTTTGCGACCCCATGGACTGCAGCACGCCAGGCCTCCCTGTCCTTCACCATCTCCTGGAGTTGACCCAAACTCATGTCCATCGAGTCGGTGATGCCATCCAACCGTCTCATCCTCTGTCGTCCCCTTTTCCTCCTGCCCCCAATCCTTCCCAGCATCAGGGTCTTTTCCAATGAGTGGGTTCTCCGCATCAAATGGCCAAAATTTTGGAGTTTCAGCTTCAGCATCAGTCCTTCCAATGACCACCCAGGACTGATCTCCTTCAGGATGGACTGGTTGGATCTCCTTGCAGTCCAAGGGACTCTCAGGAGTCTTCTCCAACACCACAGTTCAAAAGCATTGATTCTTTGGCACAAGGCTTTCTCGCAGGTTAGGAAGACCCAAATCCACATCGCCCCCTAGTGGCAGGAGGTCATGTGTGCACATGTGTCCAGGTTTTTTCTGAGTCTATCCCGAGGTGATCAATAATAGTCAATACTCAGTTGTGCTTTAAAAATAGTGAGATTTTGCACATTTCTGTGTGTATGTTATTTAATATATTGCAGGAGCCTTCTTATATTTTTAAAAATAATCTGAACTGACATTCTTTAGCCTCTTTACATATGCAAAGAAAGTTACATTGTAATCTCATAACACATTTCCAATGGATCTTTTTTCCTTTCTTTTTCTACCTTCTTTTTCTTTCTTTCTTTCTACCTCCCTCCCACTTTCCTTTCTTCCTCATTTCCTTTCTTTCTTTCTTATTTTTCTTCTCTCTTTCATTTTTTTTTCTACAGGAAGAATATGAACTCTATATGCTATTACTTCTGAAGAACCATCCCACAGAAGAGTATAAGGTAACAATCAGTCATGTGTGTCTTAAAAATCAGTCATGTGTGTCTTCATATTTCCTGAGCACAGGGAAACAGCCTGAATCTCGGAAGCCCCGTTTGTGCCTGCATGATTTATGGTTTAGAACAGCAGGTCCTTTTAATAGGCATGGGCCTTATGCTCGTGAGGACCCCGTGATGGACTGGCCCTGTGCTCCTGGCGGCCAGGGAGGCACACACGTTTCTGGATTTGGCCGCGACCTCTGGCCACCAGCTCTCAGTGACCTGCACCGACTCGTCCTCTGTGACCCGCTCTCACGCTTGCTTTGCTCAGACGTGGCTCTGCCTCTCTGCTTATTGAGGTCCCCCCACTGATGAGCCCCACTTTGTAGGTGGCACCCAGGTCTTTCTAGTGAGTTCCAGATTACAGCCTATCCAGCCAGCGTCCCTCTGCAGGCTGACACTTCAGAGTCTGAGCAGGCAGGTTACTGACCTTAAAAGGGGGTGTGACCTTGGATTCTCTGTGACACCTTCCAGGGCTTCTCTCCGGGCTTAGGTCACACGTGTGGCTGCTCCGGAAGGAAAATGGACTGCAGCAGTGACATTATCACGCACACAGCTCAGAGAATATGGCACTGTGGCTAAGGTGACCTCTGACATTTTCAATAAAGTTTAAAAATCCTGTCTCTGGGGAAGGAGAGTGCCTCACTTTGTCTATGAAACAGGCAGACAAAGATCATGGCCTGACAAGGAGGGCAGTTCTGACTTGATCAAGAATCACACATGTGCATTGTTTTCTTTGCCTTGAGCTATTCATGCTTCGGGAAAAAGCTTCTGTTTGGCAGGAATAAGCAGAGGCTGCAGTTGGGGGTCTACCTTGCTCTCTGCTTTCTGAGGCTGAGTCGTTAAGGACCACATCTGCCCACATCCCCATCAAACGCCAGAATGAAAACGTCCCCAGGCCGGCGGGGCTCTAGATCCTTCTTCCTGGAGACTTGGCAGCCCGTCACGCAATGAGCCAGAGATTTTTGTTTCACCACATTTGAGAAGCATGACTTTGTAATCATAAATGGCCATTGGGTTAATATTGTTTTTAATACATTTAGAAAAATAATCATGGTGCTGATAATAATACTCAGGAAGTATTTTAGTCAGCATTTTCTTCCCCCACACAAACCAGCAATGATATCCCCCACCACTTTTTAAAATTTCTTAGGAAAATAAAGACTCAAAATTAAAATTATATATACCTTATCCAGACCTTCACCTGACAACTTTTCCCTTCTCCAATATTCCTCCCTCATGTCCATCCTTGCTGTTTACCTATTTTACTTAGCATTTGACCCCGGACATCTTAAACACACTATTAACAGAGAAAAGGAAATTTCTCACCTTGTTTTTTGTTTGTCTCACCCATTCTGGCCTTGTCCCGCCCAGTCTTTGCTGGCTGAGGTCCAGAGTCTGAAGAAGGGGAAGGTGAAGACAGCGGGTGTCCAACGGGCCAAGGAGGAACTGAGAGCGCTCGTGACTGCCGTCAGAGCGGCCCTGGACCACAGCGACAGGTGGGGAGGGCGATCGGGATTGGTCTGTGCTGGGGTTACACTGTTATTATTGGCCTCATTATTTCATTATTGGTCTCAGACTGCGAAATGCTCCTTGGAAGGAAAGTGATGACCAACCTAGACAGCATATTAAAAAGCAGAGACATCACTTTGCCAACAAAGGTCCGCCCAGTCAAAGCTATGGTTTTTCCAGTAGTTGTGTATGGATGTGAGAGTTGGACTATAAAGAAAGCTGAGCGCCAAAGGTTTTGAACTGTGTGTTGGAGGAGACTCTTGAGAGTCCCTTGGACTGCAAGGAGATCCAACCAGTCCATCCTAAAGGAGATCAGTCCTGAATATTCATTGGAAGGACTCATGTTGAAGCTGAAACTCCAATAATTTGGCTACCTGATGTGAAGAGCTGACTCATTGGAAAAGTCCCTGATGCTGGGAAAGATTGAGGGCGGGAGGAGAAGGGGACGACAGAAGATAAGATGGTTGGATGACATCACCGACTCAGTGGGCATGGGCTTGAGTTTGAGCCAACTCCAGGAGTTGGTGAAGGACAGGGAGGCCTGGCGAGCTGCTGTCTGTGGGATCACAGAGTCAGACACGACTGAGCTGAGCTGAGCGTAAAATGGCTAGTTTCTTTCCATCCTTACTTCTTAAAAATTCAAGTCACAGAGGAACATCAATAGACACTAAAAGACCAGCTCCTTTAACTAGTGGCTTAGGCGCTCTTGATAAGAAAATATACTTTAGTTTATTGAACTTAACTAATTCAGTCTCATTCTATCTACATCTTCAAGTCATCTTTTTACTGTTAGAAGCTAAGAGGATCAGATCTTATTTCTCAGTTTTTAAGTCTGTGATATAAGAGAGAGAAAAGGAGGAGGGTATGAACAGGGTACTAATGTATCATGATGTTTTATTACCGAACCGTAGGCTCAGAAATGAACTGGAGCAGGAGCGTGTACTGCTGGAGGCCACGAGGAACAGGGCAGGCAAGTAACCCTGTGATTGATCTTCCGACGTGAGGTTTGCTGTGACCTCCGCGTGAAGAATCTTCAAGACTGGTTCCCTGTTCATGGCTCCTGCTGCCAGTTGTTTGAAAAGGTTTTTCAGAGAGGTTGTTATCTTCCTCTGTCCCCATCAAGTTCTTTAGATTCAGTAAGTTTTCCTTTTTATCTGAAGTGGTTTAAAGTACTCTAAAGACACAAGAGAGATTCGTCTGGGTGAAGATACTCACCCCAGCTTCTGTTGCTTCGGGCGTGTTTGGTTGTCGAGTTGTTCTGTAATCAGCTCCTGTGCGTTTCATTTTCCTGTAAGATCTTCGTGGGTTTTAGTGAAACTTTGAATGAATTCAGGACCTTATGCTGAGAGAATGACCAAAATACTTGAAATAGATTTTAAGAACCTTGACACAATGATGTAAATATGAGAATCAACTCCGCTGAGGGAGTGTTGAAGAACTAAATGTGTTTATTTTAGAGAAAATGTCTTGAAATACATAGTGGATTTTAGAGGGGAGCTGTGAATACTTCAGGGCATCCCTGGGGGGGTGGAAATAGAGGAAGTGTTGCCGTGGCCTGTGGTTTCCAGGGTAACAGCAAGGAAGATGGTCCAGTCTGGTTTTCAGACACTTTGTGTCTTTATTCTTGGGTCAGAGGAGTCAGCTTTTCTGGACAACAACGAGGTTCTGTCCGGGTGTGGGCACCCTCTCTTGCAAATGGGCCTCAACCTGCGCATCTCGGCATCCCTCTCACACGGCTGTTACGTTAACCGTTTTCGTGATACTGCTGCTTGTTCAGGGGAGGCAAGGACAGCGCTTCCCTCGTCGTTAAGAGGAGCCGATAAGATGCAGGAACCAGGGCCTGGTGCAGCAGAGTCACTCTGCCCGTGGGTTCCTCCTCACGTCATTATTACTCATGAAGCAGGACACACGATTCGTGGGAAATTAATGACATTTTGTGAATATTTACGCACTCAATGAACTAATAAAAATTATCTCAAAATTGGGTACACCACTCACAGCTTGATTAAATAACCCACATAGGTTCAGTGAGTGTCTCTCTCACTGACCCTCACGGTTCACCCTGTGGCTCAGTCAAGCGCCGCTCCCACTCCAGGCTTGTTACGCCCTAACTCACACGGAGTCGCGTTTTCATCTCAGCATCTCTGAGGATGTCCTCATAAGTCTCATGGTCTTGAGTGCTTCGGCAAACTTGGCCTCACAGGTGCTGACACCAGATGATTTCGTTTTCCTTCCTCTGGTTCTTGCCCTCCCGTGAGCCAGGCCTGTGTGGTTTGCCTGATGGGCATTTTTCAAGGGTTTCTTGTGGCCTGAGTCTCTGGGCAGCCTGGTCTTATGATTCTTCCAAAGCTCAGAGGTTGGTGGATTCCTTTTCTATCTGCAGTCCTGCTCACTCTTTTTCAATGTTTTTTAAAAATATATTGAAATTGAAATATAGTTGATTATACATTTATATATATATGTACATATATATATGTATGTATGTATGTATGTATGTATGGGCTTTCTGGGTAGCTCAGTGGTAAAGAATCCACCTGCAATGCAGGAGATGCAGCTTTGACCCCTGGGTTGGGTAAATCCCCTGGAGGAGGCCATGGCAACCCACGCCAGTAGTCTTGCTTGGAGAACCCCATGGACAGAGGAGCCTGGTGGGCTACAGTCCATGGGGTTGTAAAGAGTCGGACATGGCTGAAATGACTTAGCGCACACGCGTGCAATATTCTCTTGTATGCACTGCATCTTCTTCATCTGTGTTGATGCACACTGAGGTTGCTGCGTGTCTTCTGTTGTGAACGGTGCTGCCAGGGACGCGTGCTGGTTACTCTCCAGACAGGTCGCAAGATGAGACTGGAACACCCTGGTCTTCTGTCTCTTGCTGTTTCTTAAAACTGGCCACCATTTTTAAAAATGTAATACTTTATTGCTAAACGCTAACAGAATAATATGACAAAGGCTCATAAAAATCATAAGCAAAAAGAAGCTACCGATTTTCTAGGCCTGTAGTAATCTTTTCTTAATATTTGATCCTAGCTGTTTCTGACACGTGTTCAAACACTTTTAAAGAAACCCGGTATCCTGCATGCATCCTCCTGTATTCTCTTTCTGAAGATTTCTCATTCCTGAGCCTTCTCCAGCCAAACACCTTTTCTGTGGACTTCCTGTTTTTGATAACATAGTCTTCCTCTTTAGTTAGAAAAGCAAGGAACAGTTGGGTTACTTGAGTGGCTTTATATGCCCTTTGTCTTCTTTGCTGCCAGTTACTTATTTTGGGTGAAAACTTGGATCGAGATGGGAATCAAAGACATTTTCGTTGGATCTCTCAGAACTCACGTAAGAAGCTTAAGTATGACTGCCTCTGCTCCAGCAAGTTTGCTTGTCCTGTATCTGCTTAACGAATTCACCCAAATTTCAAAACTCACCTTCACACTTTTCTCTGCTTCCAAATTTGGCAGGTTTGACTAGCGGCAGTGACTTGGTATGTATCAGTAGGTAAGATCACTCTTGTTAATGGCATTTTTCCATTAAAAAAAAAAGCAGCTGTTCTTTCTCAACGACTTAAGTCTTCCCACTCATCAGAACCTACCTGTGCTGCTGAGAACAACCCCTGAGTTATTTTCTGTCTCCTCAAATACAGGTCTTTGTTGGAGCTCAGCATGTTATTGGTTCAATGCACACACCTTTGATTCTAGCTCTCTTTCCTGCTAAAACAGCTTTTTCAGGCTTATGATCTGAATGTGCCACTGCCTACGGCACATGGCACCTGAGTGTCAACTCAGCAAGTCCAAGGCGAAGCTCTCCTGCCCCTGAATTTACCTGTCCTCGGAATTTCAATGAACGGTGTCTCCCGACACAGGGAGGCTTAAGTCGGGGTGCGAGCCGCAGTGTCTTCACTCTCTGCCCCTCAGTCACAACACGGCTTGTAGTCCGTGGCCAGGCTGGCTTCAGACCTGTTCAACCAACTTTGGCTGGTTCCTTCCCGTGGGCTAGAAGAGCTTTTCCCATCTGCCGCCTGCTCCTTGCCAGTGTGATGATTTCCGGTTTCTCCCCTGGGCCTCAGTGCCCACAGCGTACCGTGTAAAGTCCCTTTCCCGGAAGGTGTCAGCTCCTTCCCTCCGCCTGCTCCCCACGCCCTGCCGCTCACCGGACTCCTGTCCGTCCTCCTGGTCTCTCCTTCGTCCACGTCCGCAGCAAAGTCATCCTTGTGCCTTCCCCAGGCTGTGCTATATACTCAATAAAGACTCGCCAAGTATATAAGTGAATTAAAGGAGGGACGCCCCATTCTTGGGTCTGATCATTTTTTTCCCTTTTGTTTCAGTTGCTATCCTTGCCTTTGCTGTATATATTTTTAATAGGAAAACATAGAAATATATATATTTATATACACTAAGGCAGTGAAACATATATACTTAATTTGGCTCTCATAATCTTTATTGACGGGCTTGAAGTTTGAATTACATTATATTTTATAACTATATACAATGTACATAACACTGTTAATACATAATGTTACTAATGAGAATTAAGGCATTAAACACAGAATATGTTGCTTTTAAAAAATATTCCAGAATCACCTGAGAGAAAGGCCGTGAAGGAGGAGAACCTTACTCTTCTTGAGAAGGTTGGAAAAAAGAGGTGTGAAGTACTTCATAAATGGGATGAGATTCAAGCTCTGGAGAGAGTAATGAAAACAACCTTTGTTCATACTGGGATTTTGCAAATCACCGAAAGTAAGATCAAAAGCTTAGAGGTACGCAAATCGTTTATTTCAGTGTCTGCATTGTCATCTTGCTGGAAGCCTTGGCAAACAGACCCAGTGATATGACTGTCAGTGGAGGCAAAATATAACATTTGGTCCAAACATATTTTCGTTTCAACGACTTTGCAGCAAATGGGTATAATAATTAAGAGACGTAGCTAAGCTAGGTCTCCCCAGGTGGCGCTAGCCGTAGAGAACCCGCCTGCCAGTGCAGGAGACATGAGACCCAGGTTTGATCCCTGGGTCGGGAAGATGCCCTGGAGGAGGGCATGGCAACGCCCTCCAGCACTCTTGCCTGGAGCATCCCGCGGACAGAGGAGCCTGGCGGGCTACAGTCCATGGGGTGGCAAAGAGTCAGACACGACTGAGCAACTTAGCCTGTATGTATGCATAGCTAAAACGACAAAAGTGAAGGCGATAAAAATTCTGTAGAGTTCTATTAAGGGCCAGACTGAATCTCTTTCAGCCCAATTGACATCTCTTAGAAATTAGCCATTTTATATGGAAGATGCTTGTCGTAAAGATAATGGCCGGCATTGTTTCGTGTCCAATATTTGCTGTGTAGTTTAATCTGAAGCCTAGAGAGGCTAAGTGACCCACCCAATATGACACAGACAGAGGTGGCAAAGCTGGGATTCAGCTTAATTCTTCTGGGCCCCAAGGTCCTTATAATGCCTACTGAGCCACGTTGACCCCATGGCTGGGTGTACAGTTAGTGGCACATTATGCTGGAAGATAGCATTAGGTACTGCCATTGTGGACCTACTGCATTAGACTTGAACAACTGTTGCTAACCATTTTCCTGATAAATAATAAAATTATGATCTTGATATGATATGATCTTGATACACATAAACTATGATCTAATGTTTTGAAATGCTATTTTTCAACCTATTTGAAAAGTAGGTTATAACCTATTTTTAACTGTGCAAAATCTTACTCAATATAACTTCTACTTATAGAGTTTGTAAGTCATGTGTGATTCTCCTTTTTTCTCCTGGTTATAGAGTTGCATATATTTTCCCAACCTTACTTTATTTTTAAACCCTAATTATAGGAAGGTGGTAGTGGTCCAAACTTGCTTTGGATTCTCTTGTCTCTTTTTTAAAATAATCTGGTCAGATTTCTTCCTGTGTTTCCACTTAAAGTCTGCCCACATTTTTAAAACTTAACAATGTCCTAAAAAGAAACACTATTTTATAATTGAATATTTAAACAGTGAAAGCCAGTCACAACTTTATGTATTCTGAGCATGCTGTAATGCAAAATCATGTAAACTTTGCTTTCAAAATTGAAACCTCTTTTAAATCTGGGAAATAGAAGATTCTATATAATGATTCCATATCAACAATTTATATTACTTTAAATAATTGTTATTTATATTTGGCTCCTTAATTTAAATACTGGAGGATATAATAGAACTGTATTTATTATCCTATTAAATAACTGATTTCTGGTCTGGATTTGAAATATTATTTTTAACCAGAAGAAAAAAATAACTAAATGTATCACAGGTTTATGATGCACAGATATTTCTATAAATAGTACAAAAATACTATTTCATTTAATTCCAAACAACCCAAAAAGATAGATGTTTTTATTAACCCCCTTTTTCATATGGGGAAACCAAGGCATACATATGCTCAGTAACTTGATCAAGCTCACAGTGAGCAAGTGGTCGAATTAGGATGTAAAGTCAGCCCAATTCCCTAACTGTATATTATCCAGCCTCACAATATACTGATAATCGCAAATGATTTCCATTATAGTGCATTTCTGGGAAAGCAAACCTTTTCATCCTTTCTTCATCATCATTTTGTTCACAATTATATTGAATATTCTCATTACAGTATTAACTAATTTTTCAGTTTCAGTAGTAAATACTCTTAGTTTTTCTATTGTGCTTCTAATGAATTTATAGATTTGTTTGGGGAGAAACAACAGCTTTACAATAGTAACACTCCATCTAGGATCATTTTATATTTATTTTAATGCATTGATCTTAAAGATGTTTTGTCACTTTTGTTTTGTGACTTTTTGGTATCTTTTGCTATTGTGAATAGAAACTCAAAAAATTTTTTCTCTTAACTTTACAGTTTATAATCAGTGATACCTATATATGCATGACTTAGTGATATTTGTATTTTTATATTGTATCCATCCATCTTAAAAAATTCCATTATTAGTTCCAAAAATATGTGGAATGCGACTACTCTGGAACTTCCCTAATATTCTCTAGCTTTTGCAACATCAACCTCCACCTCCTCTGCTTTATGACCCAGAGGGCCAGGATTATTCTCTCTTACTGCACAGCCTTCAAGTCATGCTTTGTATATCCATTGTTTTTAAATGGTGTGCTATTGAATACTTTTGAAATTAAAATAATAGCATTCACAGATTACTTTCTGTTCTACAAATGGTGAAAAATACTTAACAAACATTGTTAACCGCTTGTCTTTCTTTTAAAACCATTTTTCCTTTAGACGGAAACTATAAAGTTGGAAACAGCAAATAAAATTTTAATGAAGAAAATTCAAGTAAGTTTTTAGAGTCTGCTTTTTAATAGAAATATTTCTGCTAGTGCCTTCTTGTGCTGTGTGATCATTCAAATATGGAAGTGTCTGCATAATCTTTCTAAATGATGAAGTTCTGTAATGGCAGGAATATCTCGCTATGCTGACATTAGCTTAAAACTGGACAGGTGCAAGCTAATATAGTAATGAAAATGTTCTTCTTTTGATAGTTGAATGTGCCCATCAGAATTGACCATTTCTCTAACCCTTCCGCTCATAACAGTGAATTATCATGAGTTTATGAATGCCATGGCTCCTTTAGTGACTTCTCACGACAGTCCTCCAAAATGCATGGTAACAATTTGCTGCTTCATAGGTTGCAGTGCTATCTTGATTACCTGCGTGTACCTCTCTGCCTTATATTTGGTATGAATTAGCATGCTATGCCTGATTCTAGAAGTGGTAATGTACTGGGATGCAATTGGCGACATTACTGATGTTACCCACGACCAGTACCATGCCGCTGTATGTGACCATGTGATTTTTAATTCTCGGTAGTTTACTGTGAACTACGTGAAGCAGATCATGGGGAAGAACAAGCTGAGAGAGGGGGAGCGGCAGTGAGTATCGAAGCTCCGATGGAGCAGCTGCCATAACCTGACGCTGGTGCCATTAAAACCATCCATTTACAAGTAGATGACCTGGACAATGCTTCTGAAGTATTTGGGTTCCTAAGTGTTAACTTCACAAATATTATATACGCTACACCGTTTCCTTTGCTTAAGAATGCTTGGTCCAAGGTTTAAATCTCCATTGTATGTATTATTTAGCAATATAGAAATACATTTTTTGGGGGAAAAAACTGAAGAGTTGAAGGTGATTCCTCAAGAAGAAGGATCAGGAAAGTGGGGAGGTGTGTGGCTGTGGGTGGCTTTCTTTTCCCTCAAATTGCATGCCTTTAGTGATACTAAATACATGATAAATTTTCATGTATCTGGTAGTGATACATGAAAAAACCAATGCATGTATTATTCTGAAAGATTTAATTTAAAAATCAAATGCTGACTATTATTATCTCTTACATAAGTTTAGATTTTACTGAGTTAACTTTGAGTTGGTACTATTGTTCAACCCTCAGGATTTGAGAAGGCTGGGAAAACCACTGATAGCTTAAATATGGAAAAAGCTTATTGCATCAACAAGTAAAATGACATTTAGTTGGTGGTGGTACAGGTTCAGTGGAACCAAGGAGCCGGGGCTCTTTCCCTTCCCTGCTGCCCTTGGATGATTTTCCTCCTCAGGGCGGCCATGTGGCTGTCTTTAAGCACTGGGTCCATGTCCCAGGGGGTGGAAGGGGGAAACCACAGGCCAGGTGGCATCCCATGGTGAGTCTGTCCTGTTGGATCTAGGCAGGAAAGCCCACCCCAGGGACTTCCACTGTATCTCATTGGTCACCACGGCAATCCTTAGCTGCAAAAGAGTCAGAAAATGGACCATCAGACTTGCCAGCTTACGTGTTAGAGAAAGGAGAAAAGGTGTTAGGCTGGGTGCTGGTTGAACCACGCAGGGAGATCCAGGTTCTGTGAGGCCGTGTATTATGTCGGGTGTCCTCAATGGAAAAGAACACGGAAATGCAAACACAACAATTGGAAGAGTCCTCCAGAGCCTTGTTAATGAGAATGAACTTACCTGATATGGCTCAGATGGTAACAAACCCACCTGCAATGTGGGAGACCTGGATTTGACCCCTGGGTTGGGAAGGTCCTGTGGAGGAGGGCAGGGCAACCCACTCCAGTATTCTTGCCTGGAGAATCCCCATGGACAGAGGAGCCTGGCGGGCTACAGTCCATGGGGTGGCAGAGAGTGGGACAGGACTGAGCAGCGAAGCATGCACACAAACATCATTAACGTAAGGGCTTCCTGGGTGGCTCAACTGGTAGACTCCGCCTGCAGTGCAGGAGACCCCGGTTCGATTCCTGGGTCGGGAAGATCCCCTGGAGAAGGGATATGCTCCCCACTCCAGTATTCTTGGGTTTCCCTGGTGGCTCAGATGGTAAAGAATCTGCCTGCAGTGAGGGAGACCTGGGTTCGATCCCAGGGTGGGGAAGATCCCCTGGAGGAGGGAACAGCTACCCACTCCAGTATTCTGGCCTGGAGAATCCCATGGATAGAGGCGCCTGGTGGGCTACACTTCATTGGGTCACAAAGAGTCGGGACACGACTGAGCAGCTAAGCGCAGCAGCGTCATTAAGGTAAACCCACCTCTGTGGCACAAACTACCTGGCCTGGCAAGTGTTGCGGAGGCCCGTGACCACATGCAGAGAAGCTTTGCCGCATCCAAGGCCGAACATCTTCGGCAAATGCCCTTTAGAATGGAAGTGGAGGGTTGCAGCTCTTACTATGAGTGTTTGAGTAAATGTGTTTTAATAGATGTTTATTTGAAATTTTCTTTTATGATTCATGTCCTTTTGCTCTAACCCTTTGTACTCATCTGTTTTATATTTTAAGGAACCTTTGGGGATATATTAAAGAATTTGCAAAATTGAAAGAGACAGATATCTCTTAAGTGACGGGAAGAATGGCCTATGAAAGTTCACAGCCACCGTGTACAAGCAATGTGGATGTTTCTGGAGGTGTACATTAAAGAAGATACATTTCACTTTGTCAGTTTTAATCTCCAATAATGTGAATGTGGTCTTTGTATTCTTCTCAAGATGTTGAATTAAATGCATGTATTCATGTGATTCATTTTACTTTGCATACATGTTCATAACAATAGTAGTTCCTCGAGTAATTTCTGCTTTCATTCAATAACTTTCTTCAGGAAAAAAAAATACTTTCAATTATTTGATAGGAATAGGAAATTCAGCACTGCTACAACATAGATTAAACATTTCTTACTTGCCAATGCATGTTTAAGTATAAACATTTAACAAAATGCAGTAGTTGTGTAATAAATCTCCATTTAATTAAATCGTCTTTACTGATTGTGAATGATACAGTGTTTCACCAGTGTTACAAAACGGGCCTGGCTCTTCACACTGCACCTCTTACCTGGTTTTGACCTTCATGACAACTGCCTAGTTGGAATTTGTTTTCATCCTTGCTTTGCCTGTAAAATGGTCTGAGCACTTAGAGTCAATGCAAGTCCAGTTTCTTTGTTCTTGGGCTGTTGTGAAGGTCAAAGATAAGTGATGAGTATAAACACGAAGGTTTTAGTCTTAACTCAGAGGTATCGGGTGACATAGATTTGTTTACATAAACCTTTAATGTCCAAGTCCCACATGTTAGGCTAGAGGAAGCACAGAGGTTGCCCCAAGTTCAAGGTCTCTAGCGGGCAGGTGACGCCAGGAGGGTCCATCAGAGATGCTTCGGGAATGCTGAGCTTTGAGAGCGAACGAGACTCGGAGAGAAGCTGGACTCCTAATACAGATACACTCAGCCACGTTCGAGGCGAGGGAGGAGCCGGTGAATCCACTGTTTTCTGAAAGTGGCCCCTGGGGTCCAGGAGCGGATGGCGGGGTAGCGCCGGGGTGAGCCAGGTGTGCTGGTGATGATCGTGAATAGAGACAATGGTCACACTCTGCTTTCCACACACGGAAACCACGGTCCCCAGGCCCCTCTCGCCTACAGGTCACCCAGCAGTTACGCTCCAAGTTCCTGCGCGTTGCTATAGAAAGAGCATCTCAGCCTGTCACATGCCCACGTGTTCCTGGGAGCAGGAGGAGGCGTCTCACACGTGTCCCTGAGTTGGTTCCCTCCTGGCGGGTGCTTTGCCAGGCGCGTGTCTCCCGAGCTCTCCCGTCCTCCGCGGCCCGCCGGCTGCAGTCCTCAGGAACGTGTGTGTGCGTGGCCGGGGGCAGCTGGGGGGCGCATCTCCACAGCACTTCATGCCCTGTGCCGCAGAAGCGTCCACACTGGGTGGCTTCCGTGGTTTCACCATGTGAAGTGGTAAAACCTTGCAGGCAGAACCTACTCACTATACTTCCGTGAAAGGCAATATTCTAGACCGCTGTCTGCACATGGGTCTACCAGAATCTTGGTTTTGCCTAGGTAGTTTTAAACCTTTATCTTGACTATAAATATTCATAGGGTACATGCTATCATCCCAAGAAAATCTATCTCCCAAAGATACTCATGACATTGACCCAAGGGATGGCCTTCTGGAGGTCTTTCTGTTTCTTGTGTTTGATGCATATGCACGTCCATCCATATAACAAGCTTGTGCACCAGCTTCCCTGGCGGCTCAGTGGTAAAGAATCCACCTGCCATGCAGGAGACCCAGGCTGGATCCCTGGGTCAGAAAGATCTGCTGGAGAAGGGAATGGCTGCCCACTCCAGTATTCTTGCCTGGGAAATCCCACGGACAGAGAAGCCTGGCGGGCTACAGTCCATAGGGTCGCCAAGAGTGGGACACAACCTAGCGACTAAACAACAATGTTTGTGCACTTGTATTACTAATTAATGATAAATTATAACTATAAATTAATAGGTGCCTATATAGTGTAACTGGGAGAAGGAAATTGCAACCCACTCCAGTGTTCTTGCCTGGAGAATCCCAGGGACAGAGGAGCCTGGTGGGCTGCTGTCTCTGTGGCCGCACAGAGTCGGACATGACTGAAGCGACTTAGCAGCAGCAGCAGCATATAGTTTAACTAAATTAGATCAACTTATAATAGCTTTGAAACTTGTCATTATTTGACATTATATTAGAATCATCATTTTAAGTAAGAACGTGAAAATCTGCTTTATTTTTGAGTGGCTACATCATATTCTATGGTGTGGCTATATCTTAATTGATATAACTATTTCCTTGTGGATTATTGACTATTTAGCTTGTTCTCAAAATTTTATTTGCAATGAAATGGACATTTGCAACTTCAATAAACAAACTTTATTTGAGAGTGTAATTTCTGAAACTATTCAGTCAATTTCTGTGTAAGTAGATTTCTGTGTAAAATGGCACATGCATTAATTTTCTTCTAGATTTGTCGAAATGTCCAGATTGTGAAACTGCACTGTGGCTGTAACAGATTAAACTCTCATCAGACTTAGACAAGGACACCCATTTCATCTCTTTGTAACTAGCCCATTACTGGAGTTGTTATTGTTGATTCATTCATTACTCACATTTGTTGAAGACATACTGCTTGCTGGGCGTGGTCCTCAGTGGTGGAGATACAGCTGTAGACGCCAAATGCCAGGCCCCTGGAGTCCTGGAGCTTGCATTGTGGAAGGGGCAGGCAAACCAACCAGCAAATTGGCAACCATGTCAGATGGTGCTTACTGCTGTGAGTGAAAGTAACGGCGGGGAAGGAGAGGGTGTGCAGGGTGGTGAGGAGGATGACATTTCACAGCTGATGAGGGAAGGTCTGCCTCCTAACATGCTGGAGAGATGCCCGAAAGAAGAGGAGGAATCATATCCGTGTCTGGGGGGACTTACAGACAGCAGGAGGGCATGTGCAAGGGCCCTGGGGGCAGAAGGCTGCGGGACTTCAGGGTTCAGTGGGATGTGCACCCAGTGCTGCTCGTGGTACCGTCCCGAGAACAGGCACATTGAGGGCGACAACGCAGCAGAAAAGAGGGGGCAGGGAGAGATGCTGGGGTCAGGGCAGCGCTTCTCCTAGGAGGGCAAGGGGCAGTTGCTGGGTGGGTGAGAGCGGAGGAGGGAGGACCAGTCTGCCTCCTGTGTAAGGGGCTTGGATGGTGAGTTTTATGGGTCAGTCTAGTTGAGACAGGGTGCCCAGGGACTTAATCAAATACCACCGAGGTGTTGGTGTAAAGATATGAGGTACGTGGGGTTAGCATCTACAATTGGTTGCTGTTATTCAGTCACAAAGTCGTGTCTGACTCTTTGCAACCCCATGGACTGAAGCACTCCAGGCTCCTCTGTCCTCCTCTGTCTCCCGGAGTTTTCTTGAATTAAAGTCCATTGATTCAGTGATGCCATCCAGCCATCTCATCCTCTGTCATTCCCTTCTCCTCCTGCCCTTAATCTTTCCCAACATCAGCATCTTTTCCGAGCAGTCGGCTCTTTGCATCAGGTGGCGAAAGTATTGGAGCTGCAGCTTCGGTATCAGTCCTTCCAATGAGAGTCCGGCTTGATTTCCTTTGGGATGGACTGGTTTGATCTCTCTGAAGCCCAAGGGACTTTCAAGAGTCTTCAGTTAGTTGACTTTAATGAATGGTGATCACCTTCGCTAATGTGGGGGGGCCTCGTCCAATCAGTTGAAGGCCTGAAGAGCAAAAACCGAGGTTTCCCTGCAAACAGCTTCTACCTCTAGATGGCAGGATCTCCCCCTTCTAGCCTGTTGGCTGGCCCTAGAGATTTCAAGCTTGCCAGCCCCCACATCACATGAGCCAATTCCTTTAAAGATTTATTTGAACCTGCATATCCTACTGGTGCTTTCCCCTGGAGAATGGTGACTGATACAGGCACCAGGGCAGAAAACTCCTATGCAGAGAGCCCAGGAAGAGCGTTTTCCAGGAATATGGGCTGGAGGTGATGCTGAGTCAGCCAAGAACCTTGGGGATGGTGAGATGTGCTCAGAGGTGCTAGAAACAGGGGTAGAGAAAAGCAGATTTAAAGCAGATTTGGAGTGGAAATGGCAGGATTTGCTGATAGTTAGGATGCGAGGCTGGAGGGCGGGCAGGAAACCAAACCAACTTGAAGGCTTTCTGTCTGAGCACAAACAGGAGCTGCCTGGGGAGGCTCTGGTTGGAGGACAGTGGGGTGGGAGGGAATCACAAGTTTTTAATTTAAAAAATTCTTACTTGGGCTTTTAAAAATGCATTTTATTTCACCATTTAAATGTCTTCTTATTAACAAGATGAAGCCTCTTAAAATATGTGTTAGCTATATTTCTCTTTTCCCTTCTGTGTATTTTTTGGCACATAGCTGATGCTCAATAACTATTTTTAATTGCTCACTGGCTACCCATTTATGTCATGCCCATTTGTTTTGTGGGCTTTTCATCTGAATTCTGTGTAACTTGGCACATGGCATCTTGGGTAGTATTCAGCAAGTACAAAGCATTGATTTCTGTTTGGAATAAACAGTTTAGACAACTGGGCTACAGTTTTTAAATAATCACGAATCTATTCACCTGTCAATGGTATACAAAATATATACTATTAGTACTACTTTAAATAGTAAGAAACTTGAAACTATGAGGCGTGTGCCTGCCTGAGTGGGTTATGAGTTGTGTGGATATGTGTTGGTACTGTAAGGGATCAGGCTGGTTGTCCCACATGGTTGGTTGGAGCATAACCAGATCCATCTGAAATTTTGGAGAATCAGCTTGTAAACAAGTGCCAACATTCTGAAGGCAGAGGGGGCAATGCACAAACTTCTCATGGTTCTCAAAGTCGATTATAGCCTTTCAAAAGCCCTTCTTGCTTTTTGTAGAAAGCAAGAAATCATAGAAATGCTATAATTTCTTCCCATTTTACAGATGAGAATACCAAGTCTCAGCTGTAGGTGGCTGGGGACCCAGGCATCAAGGTGGTCCATCGAGGTGAATCCACATCCTTATCTGCTTGTGGAAATCAGGTCACCTATATCACCATGGAGATCCACGCTGTGCCTTTTGTAGACGGTAGACTTCGGCTTGGGTCAGTGACTCAAAGACTTTCCCTGGTCACTCCCTGCAGTGCATCTCTGTAGCCCACACTTCTCCCTGTGGCCTCACTTTCTGCCACTGACCTTCACTGCCACTTGGCAGAAGACAATCTAATTGTAAAAAATGATACAAATGAACTTGTTTACAAAAACAGAAAGTGACTCATGGATTTTGAAAACGAACTTCTGGTTACCAAAAGGGAAATGTTGGGGGAGGGATAAACAGGAGGTTGGGATCAACACATACACCTTACTGTTTATAAAATAGATGACCAACCAGGGCCTGCTGCATAGCACAGGGAAGTCTATTCAGTGTTCCATAATAACCTATATGGGAAAGAAGCGGAAAAAGGGTAGATGCATATGTATAAATGGGCTTACCAGCGGAAAAAGGGTAGATGCATATGTATAAATGGGCTTACCAGGTGGCTTAGCGGTAAAGAATCCGCCTGCCAGTGCAGGAGACGTAAAAGACCCAAGTTCCACCCCTGGGCTGGGTAGATCCCCTGGAGAGGGGAATGGCAACCCACTAGTATTCCTGCCTGGGAAATCCCAAGGACAGAGGAGCCTGGAGAGCTACAGTCCATGTGTCACAAAGAGGTGGACATGACTGAAGCGACTTAGCACGCACGCCAGGGGGACGTGTTGTCCCAAGTCCTATTTTACACGATCAAGAAAATCAATCAGAGACGGGCCTGCACTTGGCAGAAACCCTGAACAATAAGCCGTCAGAGGGAACACGGAGAACGTCTCCCTGAGCTTGGGCAGCAAAGACATTTTTTTAGTCTGAGGGCGCAGAAAGCATGAAAAAATAATAAAAATCAACATGGAATTCTGGGTTGGATCCTAGAACAAGACAAGGACAGTGGTGGAAAACCTGGTGAAGCCCAATCAGAGCCGGTGGCTTAGATACCAGGGGGGAACAGAGTTCATTTCATGGTTTTCGCAGATGCACCATCATCACAAAGGATACTGACACTGGGCGAGTCTGGGTGAGGTCCTAGCCCTCAGGAGCCCTCTGCACATCCCTTACAACTTTTACGTGAGCCTGAAGTCATTCCAAAATAAAAAGTTAACAAGCACCAGTGAATAGGTTATTTCAAATGTCAGGAGGCCCAGAGGCAGGCAGTTTGGATCTGATGCAGTGGCTTTACAATGTCCTCAGGTATCCAAATGCTGTCCATGGTTCTGTGGTTCCAGTGTTTTGGCTTAATATTTAGATTTCTTCTCTCGTGGTAAATTGGCCAGAGAAGAGAGGCATTTCCTGTTATTCCTCGCTGGCTTTTGTATCAGGGAGGAAAATCTTTCCCAGGAGCTAACAGCAGACTTCCCACCAGAAATCACAGAACGGAATTGGGGGGATGCTCGAACTCTGGTTGCAAGAGAGCCTGAGGCTACAGGAGGGAGGCCAGGGCAGAACAGGATATGCTGGGGGAAGGGGTGCTGGGGCTGGGGGCCCGCAAGGCTGGGACAGTTACCCCAGGCTGGCACTTTAAAGGTGTCAGCACCCTGGGCCAAAGAGATGAGGGGAAGGGGCCGTCACTGGACCCCCAAGGGGGGCATCTGGTACGGAGAGCACCGTGAAAGGAGCTCAAGGTGACCTCCAAGGAAAGGATTTGGCACGTCCGGCTGGGATCGAGGGGCCGGGGGAGTCTCATCGAGCACTGGGCTCTTCAGGCGGTCGGCAGGGGTGGCCACGCTTCCCAATGTGGCCAGAAGCAGCGGCTGCGCATCTCAGAGTCTCTCCATCTGTGAAACGCAGCAGTGACAATTCTTCCTCCATATCATTGTTTGGGGATGATGTGGAGAAATAAAGGTTGAGCACTAACATGCTGTTTGGACTAAAGTAAATAAATGCTTAGTAAATGTTAGTATCAGCCTGTATTTATGCAGAATCAAAGTACTTTCTCCTCTTAGCCCGCAGGGCAGTCCCGATGCAGGCACAGAGCTGATGCAAGAAGTGACTGTGCATCCACTCAAGATCTTGGTTCCACTGATACTTTACTTGGATTTTATGAGAATTTGTGTTTGTGAGAATAATCAGTTAGGACTCTGGAAAAAATAGAACTCTTTTCAAGGGGTAGCAGACAATATAAATTAGTATCACAAAATAAGAGGATCTTTTATTCAGTTCAGTTCAGTCACTCAGTCGTGCCTGACTCTGTGACCCCATGGACCACAGCACGCCAGGCTTCCCTGTCCATCACCAGCTCCCAGAGCTTGCTCAAACTCATGTCCATTGAGTCGGTGATGCCATCCAACCATCTCAACCTCTGTTGTCCCCTTCTGCTCCCACCTTCAATCCTTCCCAGCATCAGGGTCTTTTCCAATGAGTTAGTTCTTCGCACCAGGTGACCAAAGTATTGGAGCTTCAGCTTTAGCATCGGTCCTTCCAAAGAAGATTCAGGACTAATTTCTTATAGGATGGACTGGTTGGATGCCTTGCAGTCCAAGGGACTCTTAAGAGTCTTCTCCAACACCACAGTTCAAAAGCATCAATTCTTTGGTATTCAACTTTCATTATAGTCCAACTCTCACATCCATACATGACCACTGGAAAAACCATAGCTTTGATTAGATGGAACTTTGTTGGCAAAGTAATGTCTCTGCTTTTTAATATGCTGCCTAGGTTTGTCAGTTTTTCTTTCAAGGGGCAAGCGTCTTTTAATTCCATGGCTGCAGTCACCATCTGCAGTGATTTTGGAGCCCAGAAAAAAAAAAAAGTCAGCCACTGTTTCCATTGTTTCCCCATCTATTTGCATAAAGTGATGGGACCGGATGCCATGATCTTCGTTTTTGGAATGTTGACTTATAAGCTAGGTTTGTCACTGTCCTCTTTCTCTTTCATCAGTCATCACTGATGTGAGTGCAAGTCGCTCAGTCGTGTCCGACTCTTTGCGACCTCATAGACTGTACAGTCCATGGAATTCTCCAGGACAAAATACTGGAGTGTGTAGCCTTTCCCTTCTCCAGGGGATCTTCTCCACCCAGGGACTGAACCCAGGT